ATTAAACATTAACATGATTATGTCTGACCTAAAAATGTGTGCACTTAAGTCAAAACTAAAAAGTAAGGGCCATCCTTATTGAGAGACCTCTTGACATTACTGAAAATGAGTACAGTATTCACAATTCAATATGACTTTCATTTCAATCATCACATTTTAATTATCATTAAAATTTATTTAAAATATTAAAATCAATTTGTAAACATTCCAATACTTTACAATTAAAGAGTTAATTCTAAACTCCGCCTAAAGTGGTTAAACAATCAAAAGTGCTGAACATTAGAGACTTGCCCCACTGTGGCCAAATTAAGCACTGCCTGCCTCTCCTAAATCAAGTTGTATCCCAGTCAGCTGTGACAAATCAAGAACACAGTACAGTATTGTACATGTGAAATTAATTCATAATAAATGCTATAACATACAGTTGCCAAAGGATGTACAGATCTAAACTCGGCCACCAGCTTTGCCGCTCACCCCCAATTTGAATTGAATATATTTATATCTAGCACATCATCTTTCTCTGCACAAGTTGAAGCTATATAGTTAAAGAGGTAAAGGCATAATGCGGCCAAGTAAGGAAGTGAGTTCCATGGGCACACTGTGTATCTACAATGGTAAAAGTGCAATATCAAACTTAACAGCTTGGTGTGGCAGCCTGAAAAGAACAGCTGCCCACTGCCTGTTTGATGATTATATCACTAGATCTAGATACCTAGTACACTACTGTTCAGTATATCATATCCTCTGAGAAATTTCATATATTCAGCAATATTATAAGATATAATCATAATTTGTTCGGTATTATATGATCTGTTTTGAAAAAAGTGTATGCAGCGTCTAGTGCAGACGTTGAGCCTACAGAGTGATTACCACGATAATCCTGCTGTACAGAAATTGATTCGGATGCTAATGGCCATTCCATTCCTGTCAATCAACCATGCTCGTACGACTGTCGAGATGTTGGGATTACAGTTCAGCAAGACCTAGTCTGTTTTAGAGCCATTGTTCACATACTATAAGGGAACATAGTTCAGTGGCTCATTCCCTCTCACTATGTAGAACCAGTTCAGCAATAACACCAGAACTAATAATGTAGAGGAGTGATGGCATTGTTGGCTGAATAAAGCAATTGGCAAGCACCATCCTAATGTTTATCAAGTGGCTAGATGATACATTTTGTGAGATGTGGCAACTCTGTGGAATGCTTATGTAGCATCCTTAGTCTGACTACTATTGTGAGGTTTCTTAGAGCCTTTCCGGGAGTTTTAATACAATGTAAAAAAAAACAAAGTTGCCACATCTCACAAAATGCATCAGCCACTGTACCAGGTATACATGTAGGTGACTGTACGCTAAACTGGTTTTGGTCGTCCATGTTGACGGAGAAAACGTGCCATAATCTTCATTGACTGACTATGGGACCTGCTAATTTTCTTGGAACCCTACAGTAACACACCGAGCACTGGCCCCAAACCTTCACTATAGTATTACCTTGAATAGATCTTCACCGTAATGGGGGCAATAGCTAAAGTGACATCAAAAGGAGCAGCTTGCTGACCAGCATCAAGCCTCCAATCTAGTCCCCAAGGTACTGTAATTGTTTTCCTGGCTTTCTTTGTCCTAGGCACAGCACTAACACTTGCTGGGCATTCTGAAGGCATGATATTAAGGTTAAATTAACCATAAAGCACAAAATACTGCATATTCCCACAAGGCAAAAATGTAAACAAAGCCATGACCACGCTGAGGAGCCAACACTCTTTGGTCCTCGGTAATACAGAGTGGTCACACATTAGCAGACAACAACACTATAGTGAAAGTGACACTAAACAAACATGTTCCCTCTCTCTCATGCACGCAATAAGTTTCTAATTTTCCGTACCACAACAAAAGTCATATTGGCCAATTTATCCCACAAGATTTTTTTTTTTGCATGATTTATATCTCTGGTTTTGTTATTGTTTTGATTTTAACTTTAGCAGAAAAAAAGAGATTAAGATATTTCTCACAAATTTACCAAGGTATTATATAGTTATGGAAGTGGAGTTTTATGAACTTTCCAACAGTGGCTTTGGAATTTTTATATGACGAATACTGTATTGGGGAGGATGGGAGAGGAAATAAGATACAAATGTGACCTACCAGCACAGCTGATGGGAGGACACTGATGGACAGTGGAACTACACCAGTGTTTTGGTACTTTCTGGAAGCTTCACCCGCAAGATCATGCATTCATCTATGATGCACGAAAATTTGACGCAATTATCATGAAAACTTTTGGGTGGCAAATTTCTAAAGTTTAATAGCACCGATGCAATAGTGCTACCCAATGGTTTGACAGGATTTGCATCATCATGCACGAGAGGGTTCCTAACAGAAATGGGAACAGACACGTTCCCTCTTTAATAACTATAGACAAAGATAAACGGAGTTATAAGTGGGGACCTCTGAACCTAAATACCTTTAATGTCATTTCTAGCAAATGTATAGAATAAAAATAACAAATTATAAAAAAAAATTTAAACTGAAATCATGTTTTAGATCCTATTAGCATTAAGTCTTAATTCTCTCATGGTCTTTCGATGCAGATTGCGTCACTAAGTGCTCCCGTGTTGGTGCAACCCCTCCCACTCAGCTGTATCTCTCACTGAGAGCATCCCTTCCAGAAGCAGAAATGCTGGACCAGCCTTATTAACCACCCAAGTTCCTCCCACTAGCCTCATGGGCTGGTAGATGCATCTCTAAGTGTGCAATTTGGGTCTGGATCGCTCTACCCATTTTAATAAAATGGAGAAACCATTCCTGTTACCGGCGCAACCTGCTCCCAAAGACTGCGATAGGGTGAGATTGTAAACGACGCCATTTGCGTCAATAGACCGGGAGTGGTTGAGATTTCCGACCGTGGTGAGGAGTACCAGAGAGTTAAGTGAGGTGAGTGGTGAAGTTGTAAGAATCATAATCATCTACATCAAATATCTAAATACTTCAGTAATAATCCTATAACTATGTATTTCAATCCTTTGATGACTTTTTTGGTTTTTGTTTATAAAACTATATTCTGTCTTGAATATCAGTTTGCTGTATACATACAAAGCAGTTATATCTGCAAAAAATTATATAAAGTGATTGAACTTGTATAAAAACTAGAGCCAAAACATGAATTGTTTACTGACTCTGTGAAACAATTATCATTATCATACTGGCTTCAAAATCCACCAAATATGTATGATAATTATTTTGTGTTTGGCAGCTGTGTGGGGGGGAACAATCACTCCCATTAGAGCAGAATCATCCACCACAGGTAAGTGTCAGACTCTTACTACAGTACCACATTTGAATGAGCATTGAAATGTGGACAGAGTACAACTATGATGAAGATATGAGGCGAAGCAATGAAGTTCTGCTGCAATTTCAATTAAAACTCAACCAAGCTACACAAACTTGTAGTGCTTAATATCAACACACTGAATTACTTTGTATAAAAAATATGGTCAAAGTATGTGGAAGCAGAAATGAGTATTGAAAATTTCTTTGCATTCTTGTACTTAGTGCTTTGGAATGCTATTCATTCAAATTAGTCTTGTGTTAACATAATTAGGTTAACATTTTATATTGGTAAGTCATAATTACTCTATACAATTCAGACTCATTGTTATACCTAATAAGCCGTAAACAAGACAGTTATACATAAAACAGGTCAAGTACTAATCACACCCGACTACTTAAGGTGTACTCTACCACCTGTTCTCTTTACCAATTATCTAACCAAGAGAAAAATAATAATTTTGTTTTATAAAATGTATGAAATATACAATATATTTCTTTTAAGGTATAATTACTGCATAAAGACCATGACAAAAAGATAGTGTGATATAAAACAAACATCTAATATAGATCATCAACATTTCAGTTAACCAATTAATAGCTTATTGTCCATTAACATCTGTAAGTATACTCACTGACATCCACTAACCTTAATCCAGAGAAACTAATGCCCAGTGTATATGGTACACATATGTCCCATTTCCTGGGCAAGATGCAAGGACGCACACGTAGAATCTTCCCCCCTACACTTCAGTTACACGTAAAATGCATTATATCACATGGCTTACATGAAGAGTATAATTAAATGGAAGCATCATCCAAATAACAGTGAAATGTCAACTAACTGATGATTATATAGATCTTCAGTGAATCATAATATTTAGTCAAGTTGTGTAAAGAGCAAACATACAGCATAAGGGAACAGGAACACAGGACTTTATCTCAACGGTCTCATTACTGTTGATGTTACGGCTCTCTACATACCGGGTACGATGAGTGAAAAGAACCAGCCATTCTAAGTTACATTAATGTTTTCCATGAGAAGTTTTATAGATGAGTCAATAGATCAAATTAGTTTCAAATGAACCAGTGGCAGGGGCGGATCCAGAAATATCAAAAGAGGAAGGGGAGGGGGTCCAAGAAGAATTTTGTGGGTGGGGGAACATGGCGAGCACAGCGATCCCACCCAGAATTTTTTTTAAATCTGATCAATATCATGGGCATTTTGAGGCCATCTTGAAGCCATGTGTACTTGATATTAGGAGATATTCCGAGGCAATAATAATTACTTTTTACTATACAAAAAAAGCCTGAGTACAATACTGCATTAAAGAAAAAGTATTGGAATTTTCACATGAAAAGGAGGAGGGGGTTCGGACCCCTGGATCCACCCGTAGCTTGTTCCAAACATTTCGTATACAGTATGCAATATATATTTGTCATTTTATGTGAACTGTTTAAATATTATGTTGAAATAGAAGTCTATATGTGTATGTCAGAAAGCCAAAATTTCACCCAATTAACTGGTTACTTTAATAACTGCTGACATTCTGGTTTGGCACCAACTCATTGAACTGGCAAACAAACTAAACAAAAACTCCACTAATTATAAACTTACATCTTATCCATAACTAATTTGCATCAATAATGATTACCAAAAAATTAAATGCTTTCAATCTAGTCTTTTACTTTTATTTTAGCTGACAGTACTAGGCTAAGATACAGTACCTTCTCCGAAAGTGTGAATTTGTTCGTGGCTTCGACGGTTAATGTTCTTCACTTGAATTATTTTTCCACTTATACCTTAAAAGCTAATGTTTTCAAGCAGTTATATCTTTACAGACATTAAATTCAGAATTAAAATGAGCCAGACCTGGTTATCCTTAAAAGTTATATCAATATTAATTGAACTTTATGTATCAGCTAATGAGCTGTAAAGGAGGGCAGGGCTTGTATTGCCAACATAAAAACTTTGATTTGAATAAGAGAATTAAAACAAAAATGCTGAACAGAATCTTTGAGATAACACAAGAAACTGTCATAAACAAAATTATCTTCACTGTCAATGTTTTTCAGGTTAGCTGCAACTCCCTGATGGGCAGCTGTTAGGTAAAACAAGAACTGGGTACTGCCCCTCCCCCTACTCACCACTGCAAACCAAGGGCACCAACCCAGAATATGCAGCAGGGACCAAGGGATGGGCACAGCTCTGGTGACCCAGTTACCATCAGGGTTGAAGCAAAGTTTTATGGCTAGATGCCCTTCCTAATGCCAACCCACAGGGTGGAGATAAGTGGCAAGGCAGGGTCTTAATATTCTTTAATCAAATTATATGATGACTATACTTTGAAAAAAAAACAGTGTTTGTGGTTTTTCCCTTTTGGATTAACCATCATCAGATACTGTACTATTATGATCATTATGAATATCTTCTGCTTCATCAGAATTTAAAAAAAAAATGTTTCTTCAGTGCTGTCTTATTATTTAAAACTACATCTTTGTTTTGAGTAAAATGCTTTATTCTGTAAGCTGCTTTGAAATTAAAAAAATATAATAAAAATATAAATGAAAACTAGCAACCATCTTTAGCCCTCCTGACTTTGTCAAGTATATTACTGTATCCCAAAAGAGCAAGTGCAGAGGTTTTCCAAGCCTATAATATATATCTTTGGCAACATTTTAGCACTGCTTTCCTTTAATGACCTTGCCCTGAGGTTTGCCATCAGGGTAAGCTTCACGAAGTGGCACAAGGGACAGCATCATCAGGTGACGGGAGAAGCATTTTGATGCTCGGAACTTATCATCGGTGCCGTGAAGCAAGTCTAGGACGCCCAATACTCCATAACACTGGTTAAATCTGAAAGAAATATATGAATAATAATTCATTTCACAGCAGCCTAAGAAGACAGAAGGGAGAGGGAGGAGGAAGAGGCAGTGATACGAACTGAAAGTGTCTAAGTCCATGCAGGTAATAATGAAATAAAACCCTATTGTCATTCAAAAGATGCTACCTGTCACAGTTATACAAATATTGAAATTCAATGCTATCAACTGTGTAATTTATGAGGTACATTTACAAATTCAATCTCGTAAGACAAATGCTACTATAATACAAGAACCTTGGAGAGTTCAGACTGTGTGGACATATCTTGGGAACAAAATCAAATGCTCAGTGAACTTAATAAAATAATATTCCATAGTACTTTATGACTTAAGATATAAACTTACTTGAGATGGTGGAAATCATGAGCCTCAGGAGATGGGAAGAATGGCAGATGGTAGCCACTGTGAGCATTCAAGGTGCTGAGGAGGGCAAGACTAACCCAAAGCCAGATAGTTGCCACATGGGAACCCAACACCAGAGGGCCTAGGAACACTGGGCCCATATTAGAGATGATATGCTCCAGTGGGTGAGCATATATGGCAGTAATGGCAATGGGGCTCTGCCACTCATGATGCAGCTTGTGGAAGTGCTTGTACAGTATGCGGTGGTGGAAAAGCCTGTGGAAAAAGGCTCCAACTTAACCCTAACTTTAAATTAAAAGAACTTTGTTAAATTTATATGAATGTCTTAGTAAAGTTATATTGTCTTTAATCACTTTTTAATACTCGTATATAAATGTTATACATATCTTGCAAATAGATCACACCACTGCATTAAAGTGTCTAATAATTCACATTAATATACCTAGTAGGTAATTTGGAGAAATATTCCTCAGAACTGAATAGGAAATGATAAATGACTCAAACTTTTACTGTTTTTTTTTTAAGTGCGATAAACATAAAAAAAAGGATTTCACAAGAATATGTGTTTGAACAGAGTCATACTAGACAGCAGGAGGCAATACAGGGGCCCCCCAAATTGGGTTAGGTTATCAAAATGGCTGTGAATTGCCAAATCCGCAAATAACATTTGCAGACCGGGGGAGTACATTTTTACTTGTGTAAAAAAAAATGTATATTCCCTTTATGTTTTTGCCCTTAGGACAATTATTTCTTTTAGCTTTAGTATTGTATATGTGTGTGTGTGTGTGTGTGTGTGTGTGTGTGTGTGTGTGTCTATACACACACACACACAAAACACATACAGTACAAATAAATATTTATTGCAAAATACTCTCACAAATAATCAGAAACAAATTTATTAAAAATGTGAGTTTACCCTGATGTCCGTGCTCTATTAATAAAGTACTGTAATAGAGCACGAACTTGAGGGTAGACTGTCACATTTCTAATAAATTTGTTTCTGATTATTTGTGAGAGTATTTTCCAATAAATATTTATTTGTATGTGTTTTGTTTGTGTGTCTACACACACACAAACACACATATATACAATACAAGTAAAGGAAATTACTGTCTCTAGAACAAATGGCTCCCTGTCCCAGCCGCAAAAATGCCGGCAACTTTAAAACGACCCAAAGACATTCTTGGGTACATCCAGGGTGTCATCTGCGAATAACCGAAAACCGCGAAGTAAAAATCCGTGAACTTGGGGGACCCCTAACAAACATTGTAGAGTAATATTTCAACAGATGTGAATGACACATTAAAAAAACAAGAGAACTACAGTGGTGTTATTATCATGCACAGAATGAATGTTGATAAGAATTGAAATAGATTACAGTAGCATAAAGATGATGAAAAAACGGGTAGAGGCCGGACTAAACAGTCAAGTCTGCTGGTCAAAACTGGAGATTCAGGAACTTTTTGCATAAAATCTAGTTTATAAATAAGCAAAACCTCTCAAATTTAGCTTATGGGATGATTTATACCCCACATCACAGGTCCAGTCACAGGCACAAAACTTGATCTAACCCTGGGTAAAGGATCCAGGTAAAGCATTAATTACATGGGGAAGAATAGCCACATGTATAAATCTGTATATATTTATCACATTCCATGGTAAACAAAAGCCTGTGTAAATGCCTTTCATACCTTGATGGAAAGAAGTAAATTGAGTATTTGAGAGAAAAATTAGAGAGCATTGAATTGCTGTACAAATTAATACCTGTGGGAATAGTAGAACCCAATTTCTTCTAACAATATGCAGACGATAAGCTCAAAAAGAACCCAGTGGAAAGTAGGCAGTTGAGACGACCGGTCAAACCCACGGAAACAAATCAGGTAGTAACAAAATATGCTGAAGGGAACTCCCACGATGGTTTGATTGAAGTTTACCCACATGACACACTGTCAGGGGAAAAAGAATATATAAATAATTATCAGAAAGGTCTTAACATATCTCAATCGAATCTCTTTCCGTCCAACAGAGATGCATTACAGTATTTTTACGAAGCCTCTATAGTGTTATTGTCTTGTAACTAGTGTGTGGATATGAATAGCTTAATGCACACATTCCAAAATGTATCTTCATGGAGGGGTCCAATGATTTTCAAAATGAACACTGCGACTCCTGTTGTCTCAATAGGGTTGTCAAAATCCTCCTTCCGTTGTGTGTTATAATGTCTAACACAAAACCGTGAAGACACTTTTTAGAGTGTGTGTACAGCTATATAAACAAACACAGCACAGAACAAACACACCTACAGGTTCTAGTTAGTAGTTTCATAGCATTATACAATAATGAATAAGCTGACCATCAAAATGGTAGGGTTAAGAACTTCTTGGACCTTGTATACCAGAGCATGATGAAAATCTTCCCTATTACATCCCTGGCTCTGGGAATGGGTGGTCAAGATCTAAACCGTGTGCTACATTAATTCTCACAGTATATCCAGGGGCAGATGACAGGTGGGGGTCCTGAGGGTCCAGACCCCCCCTTTTCATCAGAAAATTCCATTACCGGGTACTTTTCTTTAATGCAGTATTGTACTCGGGCATTTCTGTATATTAGAAATTAATTACTATTGACCTCAGAATATCTCTTAATATCCAGTGCACATGGCTTTAAAATGGCCACAAAATGCCTATGATATTGGTCAGATTTAAAAAAATTTCTGGGGGACTTACAGTACAGTGCCCTTCCAACCCCCCCTCCCTCCCCCAGCTTGGTAGGCTCGCTGTGCTCGCCATGTTCCCCCACCCACAACTTCTTGGACCCCCCCCCCCTTGATATTCCTGGATCTGCCTTGGATCTGTCACCTTGGCTGACCACTGATTAATTACCTGGTTTGAGTGTTTAAGGAGGTGGGGGAGGGATGGACCCAGTGAGGCTGCCAGTCTATATGGCTTATAAGTGGTGTCGACTGTACATTTATTCTCAAAGTACAGGTACAGTACTGTAATATTATACAGTAGTATTGACATGAACATTAAAATTAACTGAAAGGCATTATACAATTTCTGTTGATAATACATACAGTATTTCTTAATAACAGATGAGACATTAGAAATTTAAATAGTACAGTACAGTACAGTACTACATATGTTGTACTGTACTATTTAAGTGCTGCTCATGTTTATATTATAAAATGATGAATAAAAATAAAACCATGGACTCAGAAATGAAAACCACAGTATTCTGCCAAACTTATTCTGCAAGTGGTGCATGCAATCAACACACTCATAAACGTACAAAACATATACTCATCTTCTTACTACTAATGAGAGAGAATGAAAGATATGGGTATAAACCTCCACCCTCTGAGCCTTGGGAGATAAAAAGCTCTGATACTGTATACTGTATAATCATTCCTGTTTACTGTTTCTTATCAAGTCAGTGAACTCTGACACCTGTGTAGCTACTTATCACCCACGAGCACAAAGTATAAGCCCATACCTTGAGAAGTTTCTTGGGTTCAACGGGCTCATTAGTCCCAGGCTGAATTTTGTAACGTCTTAAAAATGCCGGTTGGTTGAACACATCCATAAGCGTGTAGATGGTGCCAACAGTCCAGTATACTATATAAGATACAATTGTTGATCCTGAAACAATATAAATAAAACTTCTTGATCATCTTTCAAACTTTATAAATAATTGGATATACTGTATGTTGTTTCAATTTCTATGTAACAAGTATACCGTATATCAAGAGGATGTGAGAAAAGATTATAAAACTCACTCAGATAAGTTTTCATAAATACAGTAACTCATTCAATAATAATAAGACAAATTTATATTACAAAAATAAAAATTGTGTAAATTAATAGTCAACCAAAGTTTTAAAAGAGAAAAACTTTGTTCTTTCATTTTCTATTATGTCATCAACTCATCAAAAAGATAAATAAATTTTCATGTCACTATTGCAGAACTGTATTGTCACATTACCATAAACCATTAAGCTGAAAGAGTCATCCCCAAAGGTATAAAGAATCTTATCCCACTGGTGCTGCCAGAAGTTGCCAGATGCTCCCCAGAAGTGCTGCAAGTGGCTGGAAAATAAGTACGGTACATTAATAATACAATACAGTGCTTTTGGGGTAACATTTTCAAGTATTTTTTTTATTTAAACTTATAATATTAACCCTCAATACTCTTTCCTCCAATAATGAAACCAATATCACATTATAGTAGTGTGTATTTCACTTTCAAGTTCGTTAAAGTAAAATACCTGTACTGTAGTTTCAATTGTCACTTATAGTTTTCATTATGCTAAATTTCACGAGTATTTCTTCCCTTGAGAGATGTTTACAATAGTGTATCGAAATAAATTAATAACTTATGGGTAAATACTTCTCGGACTTAATTTTGTTAACATGTGATTAGTACGTACACTGATATTTAATGTATTCCATCTCCCATTCTGAAGTGCGAGCCTCAACACACATTTAACCATTACATTCAGTCAACTTGCATGAAAAGGTTGGGGACCAGTAATCTAATAACCTCAGAAATTATTAACAAACTCTTACAAGGTTGTATGGTGGCAGAGGGAACACATGGCCAGAGACAAATTTGCTGCCATACAACCATTTGTCCATATGAAACCCACATTTTAATCCTTCAAACCACAACAAATTATGCTTTACGAGTCTTAGATAAAATGTTCTAAGGAATATATACTGTAGTGTACATACCCTTGCCTGTTAACACCTGAGACAGACCTCCATTACTTTAAAGTCCTGGTTCCATAATTTCTTCCATTAATAGTGAACTTCAAATTTTCATTACAATTATATAAGACACTAAAATGACATTCACCCTAACTGTGATCTCTTTAAATTTCCTTTTTCTACTAAAGGTTTTCCATAGCTAATACAATTTTCTTTCTCGGTTATAAAATCAATTATGTTCAACATTTCTTAGTACGGTATATATTAGTCTTTTGTTAGATCTCTAAATAGATGTAAATAACAAGGCATATAATGTTTTCCATAACTTACTAGGTGAGACTGTTCCGAAGTGCCACGAAGATGATTGTGGTGGAGCCAAGGATGAAGAGCGCCTTCTTCAGAGTGGACCATAAGTCTGCTGCGGAATGGGATGGCTGTCGGGGGACCATCCCCTGGTCCCCCTGGTAAGTTTCTGTTTCTGCCATGCCCCTGTGCCTGAGGACCACATCAGATATATAAACGATTTTTCAATAAACTTTATCTTTTTTACTTTGACAAAAAGAAAAACATTACAGTTAGGCAGGTAAGCACAGGGAGCAGTGACCATGCCTTGCCAGCTAAAAGGATGCTTGGAAGTCCTACAGATAATGCTCAGTTCCCACAAGTGAACCCACAACTGTCTATGTATACTGCCTTACCTGCACTGTCTATGTATACTGCCTTACCTGCACTGTCTATGTATATGCTGGATCAATGTGAACTTGTATGACAATCTTATAGAATAAATACCTATCTACTCATGTCTCTTCCCCAAGTAGAACTCTGGCTTGAATCCTAAGAATCTGATGACACACACCCCATTAAATTAATGTGACCTAACATGCATTAACGATAATGGAGTACTGTACATCTATAATGTAGCCCATACATAGAATCCACAAAAAAGTATATAAACTAGTAATATAACCAGTAACTATCACCAAAGATTTTATTAAATGTAACATATGGGAATTTAGCAAATAGGTTATCTTCAGCAATCTATAAAACCACAGCATTAAAGCCTAATTGAGATATGACATAACCTCACAAATCTAACATAATGATATTAAGTTATCATCTTTTAAGTTAGGTTACTCTAGTTCATATCTTTCCTAAATGATTTAATGCTAAGAACTCGGATCACCAAATGCGAACAACAGTTGGAGTCCCATAAGTGTGCAGAATTAACATGATTCTCAGTAACTAACGGGTCCGACTAATTACCCAAATGTACCCAAATATAGCCGGAATGAAGTCAAATAATGGTCCAAGATGAATAAATCGGACTGCCAATCACTTCTCGACTAGTATTTGGTGTCACAAAGTCACAAAAAATTGGTAAACTTAATTTAATCTGAGTTAATAAAAGGAGTGCATGTACCTAACCTAACCTAACCTCGACTAGTATTTGGTGTCACGAAGTCACAAAAAATTGGTAAACTTAATTTAATCTGAGTTAATAGATCAAGTGCATGTACCTAACCTAACCTAACCTAACACAACTCAGATTAAATTAAGTTTACCAATTTTTTTTTACTTTATGACACCAAATAATAATCGAGAAGCGGTTCACAGCCCGAATTACGCTTGTACGACCATCATTTGACTTCATTGCGGCTACATTTGGCTAAATTTGGGTAATTCCTCGCTCCGTCGGTACATGCACGCGATCTATTAACTCAGATTAAAGTAAGTTTTCCAATTTTTTGTGACTTTCTGACACCAAATACTAGTCGAGAAGTGATTGGCAGTCCGATTTATTCATGTAGGACCATTATTTGACTTCATTACGGCTACATTTGGCTACATTTGGGTAATTAGTCGGACCGGTAACTAACAAATTCAAACTCTTAATTCTTATAGGAATCAACACAATAATGCATAAATATATTGATAAGATATTCCATTTATATACTGCAGTCCAATATTGAAGCCTACAACACTACAGTATACTTTTACTAACATAGTGTAGGTGTGTAACTTAATTATTACCACAAATACTAAGTTATTGGTAAAACAGTGTTTGGTTTAACAAGAAGGCCTCATAGTTGTAAGTAAATACCAGATCTTTTATACCTACACAGAATAAAAATTAAGAAATTCCCTAGATGAATAAATACGAAAATCTCGGTCCGACTAATTACCCAAATGTAGCCAAATGTAGCCGTAATGAAGTCAAATAATGGTCCTACATGAATAAATCGGACTGCCAATCATTTCTCGACTAGTATTTGGTGTCACAAAGTCACAAAAAATTGGAAAACTTACTTTAATCTGAGTTAATACATCGCGCGCATGTACCGACGGAGCGAGGAATTACCCAAATGTAGCCGCAATGAAGTCAAATGATGGTCGTACAAGCGTAATTTGGGCTGTGAATCACTTCTCGATTATTATTTGGTGTCATAAAGTCACAAAAAATTGGTAAACTTAATTTAATCTGAGTTGTGTTAGGTTAGGTTAGGTTAGGTTAGATTAGGTTAGATTAGGTTAGGTTAGGTATATGCACTTGTGTCTATTAACTCAGATTAAATTAAGTTTACCAATTTTTTTTTACTTCGTGACACCAAATACTAGTCGAGGTTAGGTTAGGTTAGGTACATGCACTCCATCTATTAACTCAGATTAAATTAAGTTTACCAATTTTTTGTGACTTTTTGACACCAAATATTAGTCGAGAAGTGATTGGCAGTCCGATTTATTCATCTAGGACCATTATTTGACTTCATTCCGGCTATATTTGGCTACATTTGGGTACATTTGGGTAATTAGTCAGACCCTGAAAATCTTGCTTTGGATATCTCAAGAAAATAAACCTAAACGTAAACAAAACCACAATATACCTTATAACAAAAACTACCAATCACTAACTACCACTACAGTAAAATATACCTACGACTTACTTCAAATTATCGTTATAGTGTAGATAGAGCACAAGTAAGAAGTAAAACGAGATAGGAGATACTGCGTACTGGGTCCTACTAGATCAATCTCCTTGTTCACCACTCACTCATGACCTCCAGACCCAACCAGCTCAAGTTGCCAAGTCGTACTACTCTACCACCCACCGAGTGTGAACTACGATCTTCCCTTACACTACAGTAGTAAGGCAACCGTGATTCACCATAGCTAACTAATGATGACGGGTAAATTTAATGATAAGAAATTGAAAAAGAATAGTAATGTAACGAACAGATTAAAAAAACAAAGAGGAATGGAAGTTTTTATTAAAAGAAATAAAACAAAATAGTAGTGTGATGCCAATACTATAGCTATCTATGAATATTTTCTTACACATTAATATTTTACTTTACGTTAGTCTCCTTACCACTGATTAGCTTGTAGTTGTTAAACCCCTTGACTTGCACTGTACAGTCACCCAAAAAACTATTTATACAAAATTGTACTGAAAAAATAAATGACAATGGACGAAGGGTTTTGGCATAGGTACCGAGACAACAGGAGTCTCTCACAGTGTTCAAAAAGAAAAAGTATCGAGACACATAGTCGTGGAAATGGCTGCTAAGATTCAATGTCATGAAGTGCAAAAGGATGATGCACCTGGGTCGCAGCAATAGTAAGGAGATCACATGTATCAACAGGACGAAGAGACTGCATTAATGAGACCGAATGTGAAAAGGACATTAAGTTCTCGGGCCATTGTGAGAAGAAGGTGAATCAGGCAACGAAACTGTAGGTCTTATTACCCTCTTCACCACTGATCGTTTAGATACCTGGATGGTCCAAAGACTATAGAGCAGTGGTTCTCAAACTTTTTTCCAGTTTTACCCCTATTTAAAGTCTGACAGGTTCGAATTACCCCAACGTAAAATTTTACTCCTTACTTTTTATTCAATAGAGTTTATTATACAAAGCACAAGTTTACAAAATTTATGTACTTACAAATTTTACTCCTCAATTCTATTCAATAAAGTTTAATATACAAAACTCAAGCTTACAATTATACTTACAAATTTTACTCCTCCAATAAAGTGTATTATACAAAACACAAGTGTACAATTCTAGTCTGTCTTATACAAAAATCAATAATAGTGCTACAGTTACAGTGCTGTTATAGACGGATGAACTGGTTTTGTCGACACCAGATTTTGGATGCGTGGTTTAGTCTTTGACAGAGCCAGCCTCATATCTGAGCTTGGAACGAGCCGGTTTCTAGTCTTGGACTTGATGTGGTACATTGCCGAGAACCCAAGTTCACACATATAGGTCGTGGGAAATGGAAGAAGTACGTCGATAGCCCTAGTCATTAGAGTTGGGTATCCCACTGCTCCTTGCTTAAGCCAAACGCGGCAAACGTAAGTGTTATAAGTGGTAAATACGAGGTTACCCCACCGTGCCAACAGAAGCATATTACCCCAGCCGAAATGTAGTTTTTACCCCAGGTGGGGTAATTAACCCGAGTTTGAACACCACTGCTATAGAGTATCTTTGGGATGCTCCGTCGCTCGTCACAGTCTTAAGAGTGGGGTGCTTCCCCGTCTGGAGTATTGTCACCCCGTCTGGTCCTCGAGGCTCGAGGTATGCTGGAGACTGTCAATTGATTGAAAATGTCCAAAGGAGGGCCACCAGACTGGTGCCTGCTCTACGGAACCTCAGTTACCTAGAGAGATTGGAGCGCCTGCAACTACCTAGCTTATACTACAGACGGGCGAGGGGCGACCTAATCGAAGTGTATAAACATCTCAGGGGGCACTACTCAGTCAAATGTACATACCTGGAGCTGACGGACGCTCGCCCCACAAGGGGCCACAGCTCAAGGTTGAAGAAGCCCCAAGTCCCGAAAACTGAGAGGGCAAACTTTTTCGGAGTGAGAATTGTGAATTCTTGGAACAATCTGCCAGAGAGCGTTGTGATGGCACCGAGTGTGAGCTCATTCAAGGCCAGACTTGATCAACACTGGAGCAGGAGTCGCAGTGTTCGTTCATTCTGAAAGTCATCCACCCCCCCCCCCTGCATATGGCATCTCAAAATTTTTGACCAAGTCCCAGGTTGCTGATCTGGCTTTCTGCCTCATTTACACATAATTGCAGGGTCTCATTTTTTTTTCTCTGACAACACAACATATTGTTACGACTCCTTCTTTCGCCGCTGACTCAGCTTCCACTGGTTACCAGCGGCTAGAGTCGTATGTACAGAAGCAGTAGATATCTCATAAGTGTTGTCGAATTACCACTGGGTGGGAGCCGTCTCCGGTTATTTCCCGAAAGAATGGATATTGATTCCCTAGAAAGCAATCAGAGGAGAATGACAAAGTTAATATCGGGCAGAAGGAACCTTTCGTATTGAGAGAATTGAATTTTCTTTCTCGAGAGACTTGGAGTGAGGTGAGATATGATCAAGAAGTGTAAAAGTGGAAGATAGGGTTAAATAACTGTATTGATGATGTAACTATGTTACTTAATCAATCATATCAGGGTCGGACACGTAACAAAGATTTTCAATTAAGTAAATTAAGTTTAAACGGGAATCAGCCAAATACTGGTTTGGAAATAGAACTAAGGATACCATTATAAACTACAAATAGCTGAGAAGTTTCAAATATAGGTAGTAGACCTCTGGCACGGTCTACCAGCTCACACTAACCTCTTTTCCCCAGTATAGCCACCTCTAGCGGGTGGCCATTAGGTAAATAAGGTAAAATAATCGCTGGTTTCCTCTAGGCACTCCGGTTCTTTCCTGTAGTACTGTACTAACACTGGAAAATAAAGTTCATAAAGTAAAAAGAACAGACTAACTGCCCGAACGGCCATCCAGCTGATAATAAGTGGCTAAATGATAAATTAATGAGTGATATGAGCTAGGTATAAACAGGGCTGCATTGTATGCTAATAGGCCTACTGGAGTTTGCTTCATTCTTCTTATGCTCTTATGTATTGCCTTATTTGCCTACTATTTACCGACCGCCCAAGAGGCTATCAAGCTGATCAGCGAAAAGTACAGTAAACTCAGTGACTATTCAGCCGTCACCGGTTGAATAGCCTTGATAATCAACTACACTTTAAACAGTTTATTCCGTATTATAGGAAGCTGGGTCCCAGTGCTATCACTAGGGTCCCCTGTATAATGTTACCAAGAACATCTGGCAGGAATCTAAGTACATAATAAATGAAATAATATAAAGGGTCTTACTAAAAGCCTACGAAAGAAGGAAGGTAGGTCAAGCAGCCGTCACCACCCGGATGTATATGTATCCTTGTAATTCCAAGAACTTTTTAATTGTGAGATGATTTGGCTATTTTTCTAGAAGTAGAAATTTTTTTTTAGTTTAAATTTAATTATATAACTTCCATTTTCCAGGAGAAGCTTCATATCCTGTAGCAAAATTATTATTTCATTTTGTGATTCTGATCATGCTTAAAAGTAATAATAAATAACCTTAGTTGATATCAATGTGTTCTTTATATATCTAAAAAAAATAATAATAATTATAAAATAGCAAATGTTCACTCACTTACAAATACAGTATACGCAGTGAGAGGGGTAGTAAGGAGTGGCTGTGTAATGGACGCATTTATGGCTTTATGTTCTGTTATTTACCCTCACATTCCTGCCTGGTAAGACTGTGGGACGTTTTTGTTGAGATCTATGTATCCAAAAGTTTTTTTTTTTTAAGGGAACCGAGTAGATGATTCAGAACCCTCTAATAGCCTGTTAACTTGTTCAGTATTGTTTGTATACTTTTAATATATGATTTATACCCATACCTTTGATTTGAACAATTTATCATGTAGATTGGGAAAAATACCATGCATAAGAATTTGTTTGTATGGATATAAAGTAATACAAACCATTTATATTGAAGAAAATAAATCACGTCCAAGGTGCCTCAGTTGTGAGTGTTCAGTTAATGAGTTTGAGGTGGTTTTAAAGTTTATTTATTACAGCCAGTCAGCAGTGATTACCGATACTGTTGCCTCACCTGAACATGGATGTGTATGACAGCTGTGAATATATTGTTTATTCATTTGCAGATGTTACCAAATCGTGCACAATTTGAACAGTGATATTATAGACATTTTGGTATTTCACATTTAACAGGTGGAAAATCACGAGTGTCATTGTTGACCATCAATGGATCTGGTAAATTCCTGATTTATTAGATACTGCTACATTATTATAATTTATCGTTCCTTAAATGACCCAGACTTACCTACCTAAACTTGAGCTTCACTTAAACATTATAATACGATTTAGGTTAGATTAGGTAGGGTAGGTTAGGTTAGGTTTAGTTAGGTTAGGTTAGGTTTAGTTAGGTAGGGTAGGTTAGGTTTAGTTAGGTAGGTTTTGTGTAGAAAAGAAGAATGACTTGTCGGTTGCTGGTTTGGGGTTGGTCGGTTGTTGTGGAGCATTTGTCAACAGTTATGTCAGCTTTATTTACGGGAAAAACTGGGTAAGAACCTGAATATGAAAAGTGCTATTCCTCCACCCGATTTGCTTTATTCTGGAGGTAAGAAGTAAGTTTTCTTCTTTAGGTATTTTTCATTAGGTAGCTGGATAACTTGGACCCATGTTCTTAATAATTACCACCCAGTTACATATCTATCGGTGTTAGCCTGTCATTGTAACCCCACAAAACATTACAGGTTCTCTCCAAGTTTCCTCATGTATTAACGCTGGACAGTGAAGAACAGACCAAACACATGACCAGCTAGTAAACTGATGAGTGGTCAAAATGGTTATTGGTAATGGATTAGAAAAATATATACAGTACAGTATCTGAGTAAAGTTGACCACTCATGTCAGTTTTTATCCTTTATAATGGGCCTTTTTTGTTGTACATATACTGTACTGCCTCAACATACACTATGTACTGTATTAGGATTATTCTCTGCATTATGTTATAGGTTGTATTGAAAAATTATTTAAATTCTTTCAGGGCTACAGACATATTGGTATTACCTGACAACTTTGTGCAAGAAAACTTCCTTTTGGTGGATGAGGCAGGATACAGTGTATGGTAATTATAAAACTAGTTTATCAAATATGCCAGTTAGCAGACAGTACAGAACAGCAGTTACAAATCAAATAGTACACTACTGTACTGTACTAATGGTGTATTACACTTGTTTCTTGAAACTTTTAAGTATTGTACTGTATTTTTCAAATTAAACTTAATCTCACTACTGGACTGTATTCATTTCGTGTACTGTACAATCAAAGACAAAAGTCGTGTCGCGGTTTTGTCCGAAGATTAAATATAACTCGTGAAACATTATGAGAGCCCCCTACCACAAGGCAGAGCGCACCAAAAGTTTAGCCCTTCGGCATATGTTTTCACCAAATTTCACAACACTACTTTTGTCTTTTAGTGAACATCTTTGTCACCTATATTGGTACAGTAGCTACATAAAAATTAAACTGTGCAACACTATACTGTGTATAAGATAATAGATTGAACATATGTTAATGTGGATATTAAAAATTAATGATTAAAATCCATGTATGATAATAAAGTTTTTACTGTACTATGCTGTAGTTGAAATTATTAATGTTTAAACAAAATTTACTACAGGTAATAAATTATTTTTTGTTGTTTTGGTTAATGAATGTAAAACCAAAAGTTACGCAATGTCACCATTTTCTTTTACTACATGTATGCTTTTTTCATTTAAATAAAAATATTTAATTATTATTTAGCTTTTGCTGTGATTTTAATTACTTGTATACAAATAAGCTCTCAATGTGTCATCATTCTTCTACAATCACCACTTAATCCTAAACTCACATGAACACCAGTAGACTTGTCCAATTTCTCCTCATTTACTCTTGTGTAATGTGGAAAATTAAGTTAAAAGACAATTATTTTATATTTTTAAATTACATATTCTAATTATGTATAAATAAGATACAAGTACAGTACAGTTTCTCTGCTTTATCTCTATGGCCACCAAAATATTATATCACAAACTTAATCAAACCTTTTTTCTCAACAGATATGAGATGAAGGACAAGTTACAAATGGCTGGCTATACTACTGTACAGTACAAGCAAAACATTGATCAAGTTTATGTATAATGTAAGCACTGTACAGTAAGTGCAAAATAAATTTTGTCTGTAAATGTCTTTGACACTTTGTAGTTTACAAGTCTTTTATTTTTCAGTGTCTATATAAGAAATAAAATTTCAGTATTGTACTGTATATAGAATGTACATTAATAGAAATATCACACCAATGAACTTGATAGATTTATTAAGTGATGACTTGATTTAGGAGTTTCAGTGTGTGTGAAAAGTTGACTACTGTACCATTACATGTTGGCTGAAAATTACCCTCCTTAATACTCACAGGCAGTCTATTTCAAGTACATGTGAGTGATCTTACAGGGAAGGCCCATGCCTTTTTTATCAAATTTAAGGTTAGAAAAGTTACTTCAGGGATAAATTTGCTTCAATGGAAAATACAAGCGTTCTTTCTGAAGAGACACCATATAGGTGTCCAGAGTGTCCTAAAGAGTTTACTTGTAGATCCCAGATGGCAATACATATGAGGGTTCATACTGGAGAGAAACCTTATCAGTGTTCAATATGTCATAGAGGCTTCTCCCGTAAACCTCATCTAAAAGGACACATGCGAATTCATACTGGAGAGAGACCATACCAGTGTCCACAGTGTCATAAGGACTTCTCACAAAGCTCTGCTCTAGTAAGACACATGAAAATTCACACGGCAGATAAACTGCATCAGTGTCCAGAATGTTCTAAAACCTTTAAAGAAAGTTATGATGTAGTAAAACATATGAAAGTTCACTCACCAGAGAAACCATATCAGTGTCCAGAGTGTCTAAAAGATTTCTCACGAAAATATGATCTAGTGAGACACGTGAAAGTTCATACTTCTAAAAAGCCGTATCAGTGTGCAGAATGTCTTGAAGGCTTCTCGAGAAAATTTAGCTTAGTAACGCACATGAGGGTACACACTGGAGAGAGACCATATCAGTGTTCTCTGTGTTTTAAAGATTTCGTGAAAAAATCTGATCTAGTAAGACACGAAAGAGTTCATACGAGAGAGAAACCACATCAGTGTGTACAGTGTAATAGAGAATTCTCACGAAAATTTGACCTAGAGAGACACATGAACGTTCACGCCGGAGATAAGCCTCACCAGTGTCTCGAGTGCTTTAAATGCTTTTCACAGCTTTCTGATTTAGAATGTCATATTGACGCTCACAGAAAAGAAAAACCCTACCATTGTTCAGAGTGTCATAAAGGTTTTCCACATAATTCTGATCTAGTTCGACATATGAGAGTTCATACTAGAGAGAAACCATATCAGTGTACGGAGTGTCTTAGAGACTTTACACAAAAATCTCATCTTGTAACGCATATGAAAATTCATAATGGGAATTAAAATCATCTATTTTAGAGTGTCCCAAATTATTATTATTATTTTATTGTATTTAATATTTGAGATTGGATTGGAATCTTTTGGTATTAAATGTTAAACCAGATCTTTTAATGTAAGACTTATGAGAGGAACCAAGCTCTCTTCAGATTTGTATTTATTTTTAATTATATACTGTACAAGTAACTCATTAAATTAAATGTCATTGTATTTAAAAGAATCTTTGAAATTTTTAATTATTGGATATTTAGACAGGTTTAAGCCCATTCAGGTGTTCAGAACAATACGAAAGGACTTAAGATTCAGAGTTACATTTACAGATATATCAAGAATAGTCTGGTAGTATGACTTTGTAAAGGCAACCAGATATCCATTCACAGTTACAGTAAACCCTCGATAACTCGGCACATATGGGGCTCTGGTCTTGCCGAGTTATCCCAAATTCTGACTTATCGAGGCATTTCCCCCCTCCTACAAAAATTCAACAATAAAAAATTATCGACATATATATGTGTACACTCGGTAAAAAAATTACCATTACAATTCCTGCCTGAAACAAACTGACACTACAAAAGAAGTGTTTCAAAAAGGCCCCTGAGGCATTCCTCGCATTGGTAGCCCTGTGCGTGTATGGGTTCGGCCACACGTGCTCCAAACAAGGTTCATGAACTCATAGCTTCTCATAAAGGTAAACCCAGTACTGTACTACGTTTTCCGGAATTATCGACCATATAGTAAAATGTCGTTGGGCCGGGTTCCATTATGACGGCATGCGAAACTGTGGAGCTATTCAGATGTTTGGAACAGCATGGTATATTTTCCGATACGAATAAAGAATGACATAATGTGGCATTAGCCCAAAGTGAAGTAGCAATACAAAACTTCAGATTCTAAATTTGGTATCAAAATAATCTTATACCTTTACTGTATCCACTAATTCTGCCAAACATATAATGCATTCCTATATGGCAACTCATCCACTTCCATGGTTACTATAGTCCATGGTGTGTGGAACATTTAATAAAATAGTTTAAATTATCTAGATATCAGTACTGACTTTCTTCAGTTATATTGTAACAAAGTAATTCAATATTGTCAATGAAATAGCTAATTTCGGCCTACAAAATTAATTACGAAATGTCTCGCATTCAGGCCTACCGACCCTCGCAAGACAACGGGAATGTTCAGTTGAAAATCATCGGACCCCACCTGTACGGTAGTTATTTTTACTGAGTGTACATGTAATTTCTAAATGTAGAAAGGTAATACTTACCAGCACTGCAGGTGAAGAATGAAGCATCATAGTAGTGACACAGATGCATGGTAGGTGATGCAGGTGGCCAGATATGCTGAGATTTTCCCAGATAATTTTATATATCTCAGCATTTCCCGAGTTATACTATAATACATTCCAAGACCATATCTATGCTGAGCTATATGAAATTCCGAGTTATTGAGGGTTTCCTGTAGCTGTACTTGGTATGCCAGAAGGTGTGAACTGGTAACTCTTAGGATGAGAGGCAAGTAACAGTTAAAAAAGTGAAGGTGGTCAAGTACAGTACCAGTTACACTCACTGCCTCCTTGTGTACCAAACTAGGCAAACTGAATAATATGCTATATCTGCATTTACCCTCAACGGACTGGTCTCTCAGGCTTATGAGACTCACTTTCACTTTTACCATGACATGACAATACAGCCAGTTCATTCATGGTGTTTCTGTATGTGTGACATTAAATTCCTGGCTCTGAAGTCCTCAATGTTCTCTGAAAGTTCAAATGGCTGTAATCCCGCTCCTACTGTGCACCTATCATAACTTTCATTTTCAAGTCCATACCAATAACTTTCCTGGTCAACTCGGCTACTGAGCCTGAAATTTTTACTCAGCACACACAGGAGATTACGGGAAAGGAGCGAGTATAGAGACAGCCGACACAAATTTTGGCAGGTTATTCATGTTGATCAGATGAGAATGTAAACAAAGATGGTTGTTTACACTCGCTCCAAAAGGTATGTTTATTATATTGTGCGAGACAATATGACACAACTGAAGATTGATTTTTGACAACCCTACCGAGCCAATAGGTGTGAGACAAGGCTCCGCTATAAAAGATCTGCCTGTATAACTTCTCAATTTATACAACTCTAAACAAAATCACAATCTATGCTAGTTTAAGATCTGTGTGAGGACAACATAGACACACTCATATGTAAGACCGCACAATAACCTGGTGTTAAGTCTGGGCTTTTAGTTAAGACTTAGGTGCTTATTATATGAATACCTGTAGTACTGTACTTGTTAATGTTGCCTCTACATTTCTCTGCTATGTAAGACCTGTTAGTTTTATATTTAATAATTTTCAGCTGTGCCAGGCATTTTATCTATAGTACTGTACTATATAAGAGTTTCATATGTTCTAATTCTTACTTTATTGTATTTTCTGTATTCTTTTATTTTTATATTAGCATAGTTAATTTTTGTGTGCTTGTAAGTGTCAAGTGAGAAGTACCCCCGTGTATAATCTTTCATTTAATATGTACATAAGTGGTCAGTTACAGTAACATGTATAAATGTAAAATAATGAGTTGTGTGTGTGTGTGTGTGGATCTAAAAAAGTATTGTCATTTCCACAAAAAACAATATTTCCTTCTCTTGGTGAAAAGTTAACGTTACTTGTCTGCTCATTAAGAGTCAATAGCATTTGATAGACCTTGAAAAGTATGGGAAGTGGTTGAAAGGTTCTGCAATGTGGGTAAAGCAATACAGTAGAGTTGTAACTTTTGGGTAACAATGTTGGATACAGTATTTATGTTTGTTATTTCGAATACAGGGTGTAATGTTATACAGGTTTATTTATTTTCAGTGAAAGTTTGAAATACATGAGAAAATTACAAGACGGTTCCATAGAAAAAATAATACTGTAATGCATTGTGGGAGTGTACAGGTGTGGGCATAAGACCCCAAGCAGGTCAGTCTTCAGGTACTGTACCTCTAATTACACACCTGTAACCCAAGTCAAGAGCTAGATTACCTTCACTAAGAGTTAGAAATTAAACCATTGAAATTTTTCATAGAATGTATATTTATTTACTTTATAGATGATAGCAATATGTACATGTAATTATGTAGTGTAGATCTTTACTGTAAGAGTATATTCTATAATCTAATCAAATTTAATTGTAATAAACGCAAGTGTAACATTTTTGGATTTAATAACCTTCGGGTCATATACTGTGCAGGGTGGGATAGTGAATTAAATCTCATACAAATAATTAAAATAGGCCTATGAGGCTTCATTGTTTATTTGAGATGGTAAATGCTGACATCTGATAATTTTGAAGAGGGTCTCTTGAAAGAGGTGGAGTCACCATGACCACCTGGGAAAACTTATCAGATAGCATGCATGGGAGTGTGGAATATAAAAGGTACTGTTTAATGTAGGAATGGTAAAGTGGCAGATGAATTTATAAGAAATCTGTGAAACACAATTAAAAGGGAGAAGGAAGAGATAGTTTTGATGACATAATTGTGCATACGGTAGACATTCCTAGGAAGAGGTATGTGCCTAATCACGAATCACCCGAAGAGTCATTAACATTGGCCTGGAATACCAAGTGGATAGAAGCTTCTTAACACATGGAAAGCTGAAACTATTCACATATCCTTGTATAGTGTAATGCAAATAATAAACTCATATTTAGCGGCGAAGCTAACTCCCTCACTGATAGAGATTGATTTCTGTGTTGGCACAGTACCACCTTGCATTTCTACATATGAAGTCACAACGTAAAGTTTGATAAAATTTTATACAGTTACCGGTAATCCTTTATGTGCTGGTTAATGGTCTTGGCTCTAAATCATAAAATTCAAGAATGGTAATTGGTGTTAATCGATGAGCATTGAATAATCAATATTCACAATATTTAAGATGTCAAATAAGCTGTGCCTGTTAGTTTTAAATCACCATATTTGAAATTTTTTAGTAATATAAGGCTATCTGTACTATTTAACGACATAAGTTTTCATTTTCCACAAAAAAATGTTATATCGCGCAAGGGATGCAAGACCTATTACAGTACCTTGCATTTTGGCATAAGAGATCAAAGCTTAGATTTGATTTTGTTCAGATTTTATACAAATGTATTTCCTCACTTGCAAGCTGGTATCCAATCACCTTGCTATGACATCCCCATAAACCACTTGGTGTCATGCTCTCCATGATTGTGTGTTCTGCAGTTTCCTGTACTACGTCCAACCCCTTCACTTCTAGTAGCTATTTCTATCACTCCATGTTCTTGGTTTCTACTTTCCCTTCTGTCACCCACCTGTGATTTATAAAACCTTTTTTATTAAACTTTTCAATTTCTATTCTCTTATTGGGAGCAAACCTTGGTTAGCTCTGTCTGATTTTGATCAACCAACACACTTATGTCAAGCACCTCATTTTGATTGATTTTTAATGGCTTCATCCTCTTTATAAGAGTCCATGACTTCTACAAACTGTAGTATTGTTGACACAACAGTTCCTCTGTTGATCCTAAGTTTTGCTTCACACACAGTTATCATCAGACATCTCACAATGCACCTACTACAGTAGTCTTTTATACTTGTGCTTTATGATCGACCACCTTCTTTCCAATAGCCATAACATCCATTCCTAGATATCTACAATGGTTATGTCCAGTGAGATTCAGGTGAAACTCAGGTACGCTAAAAGTACCCCAGGTGATACCACACACAACCCAGTACTCTTCCTGCCCAAGTGGTGGCTAATGTTACTCCAAAGTAGGAATACATTATATTCAAGGAGGGCCCATAACCCCATTGCACAGGGGTCTCTCTGTGCTGAATAAAATCCCCTGGCATTAGCCAAAGAAAAAAAGTAGCATCCCATATTGAAGCGGTTAAAGATACTTCACTATTGCTGAATGTCCTGTTGGACTAGATTTTTCAGTGAAGTGTAAACTTTATTTTAACACAATAATATATATAAAAATTTGATCTTTAATCCCTCTTCACTGTGTGTAAGTAAAGGGTTCAGAGAGAAAAATGCAAATGTAATTATACAAAATTTAATAGATTTAACAATTCTCTTAGGCACAGGTCACCTCTGAACAGTTCATGTCGTTGCTACAAAAACAGAATTTTTGATTTGCTTGATTTTCAGAGGTGTTTCATAAACACCAATAGCTTTTTTTATCAAAAAACTCAAAGCTATAATACCTATTTAAGGTTAGTATGCAAAGCTTTTCTTTAAAAGATTTTCTTAAGTACAAAAATTAACACAAGGTTTCTAACAACTGGAAGTTGTGTCCTAGTACAGTACAGTAGTGGCCATCATAAAGAACTAGGGAAACAACTAAACAATCACACAATTCAACTACTTGAAATTTGAAATAAACACAAAAGAAAATATATTTATGGTTAACATAAATATAAGAAAATGCTTTGAAATTTGTATACTGAATGTCACCGGAAGCACTCAGAAACCTCTATAACCAGATCATGTTCAACATTAATAGGAATGTAACCATGTCTAGGCATCCAGCATTATTAAGATATATAAATATTGACTGCATCCTTAATTCCAACGCTTTGAAACAACTTAGGCATTTAGCACAAGGCGAACAAATTCCTCGTAGTTGACGTTGCCTTGTGAGTCCTCCTGGCCAGCTAGCAACTGCTCAACCTCTTCGTCTGTCAATTTTTCACCTAAAAATAAGAAAAGGCAATGTGATGGATGCATATAAAAGTACCATGTATCTTATAAGTATCCATTCCTCTTCCATGCAACCTTTTGCAGGTACATGCATACTGTACATTCATGAAGTGTGAAAGTACCATATGTACAGTACACAGCAGAGTGAACAGTGTAGGCTAGCAGAGGGAAAGGAGAGTAACAGTCAGTAACACTTTCTACAGTAGATGGTGAAGAACAAAGGCAGGCTAAACTGTATCATCATATCACCATTTAGCCTGCCTGCATCACAAGCTCAAAATGACAGCATCTGCTGGTGAATACAGTAGTATACTGTATTTTGTTTATTTACAATACTGTACCTGTACAGTAGTGTTTGCATAAATGAATACAGTTCTGTAGCTGTTTGACTGCAGTTAAGCCTCCATACCAGATGTGTAGTTTAAACTCAGAAACATTTAAGAATACCCTGAAAAGTTTCACAAATGTGATTTTTTTCCAGGATAGAGATTTGTATAAATACCCAGAAATCTCTCAAATACGGCAACATTCTGCACCAATTTTTCCGTCTAAGGGGAACATTACTGTATACTGCACTGTACAATACAGTATACCTTGATTAACGATAATTACAATGAATAATTTAAACTTTTTATATAGTCTCTCCTCGACTTATGACTGGCTTCCGTCCCGACGACCAGGTAATAAGTCGAAAAGGTGAAAATACATATTTTTTTTAGAAATTCTAAAATGGGTGTCTTTCTTCTCAGCACCAAGAGAACTCTCACAATTACGCTTGTCTGCCAATTTAAAGGAAATTACAAACGAAAATTTTGTCAGTGCACAGCGCGATCACTAACGTCGGGACTCGAAAATACGTAATGTGAAAAATATTTTATACCACCTTGGCCGTCGTATGTCCGGGTTGTCGTAAGTCGAATATGCCGTAAGTCGAGGAGAGACTATTTGCAATATTTCAAAAATTATAATGGATTATTTTGGGGTAGAAAAGATGTAATTACCCATAATACCTTAAGTAAATGAACATACACTATGTACCAAGTAGTTTGACTAGTGACAACATTTCATGAAAATGTTTACAAGACAACAGGATCTTCTGAGTCCAGCTTCACTCTTTGACAGAACTCGATATATTTTCTTGCATTTTTCAAGCAATTCACCCTATTTAGAGATGAGAGGAAGTGACCAGGAAGTGAGGTGAGCATCAACAACACCTTTAGTGACAGGAAACCCACCAAAGCCATTATTTTACACGGGGAGGTAATAAAGAACATTGAGGCTGGTGAAAAGACAACAGCCATCAACTCTTAAACAAAATACTTGCCTAAGTATACTGCACTTTCAATTTTAATGCATGCAAATCTTTAAACTGTGCAGCAAAGTGTTATTTCAAAGGAATATATATCCCAATTTATATAAAATACTCAACATGCAGAACATACCAAGGTGAGTCATCAGGTGGCGGAGTTCAGCAGATGAAATGTAGCCGTTTCCATCCTTATCAAAGTGGCGAAGACCCTCAATGAAGTCATCCGCTGTGTCGACTGGACGCTGGCGGGAGATAGTCTGCATAATGGGCAGGAACACCTCAAAGCTGATTCTTTCCTCTGAAAGATAAAGCAAAAAAAAAATGCACTTGATCAATTTTAATTCTGGAATGAGTGATTCAACTACTACAACCAGTTACTAACAGCCAGTCACTCTGAAATTTCCATTACTGTACTTCAGAAAAATGAAAATTAAGTTGTACCACAAGTTTCACTCAACAAATATTAATGTACAATAATGGTTAAAGAGCTACCTACCTAAGTTACCCTCACTCTCTCTACCAATGTACTGTAGATACTCTCTCTCTACTGATCTATTAACCTAAATACAGTACTCTCTCTCTCTCTACCCGCCTATCAATCTATTTATATATTTAGATACTCTGATTCTCTTTATTTATTGATTTACTTATCTAGATTCTCTCTCCTTCCTCTATGTACTATTGTTATAGCTACTCAGAGCTTGACAAAATAGCACCGTTATGTTGAGGCAAAGTAACTAGCATGGGTTATTAGCAAAGTCTGTTTAGTATAAAAGTTACTTTATACCTTGTACTGTATAGTCAAATAAAATGAAGTGGGATTTGTTTATGAATGAATACTACTGTACGTGTGTATGATTATCAGAATGGTGACTAGCAACCATTAATCTGACCTGGCCGGTGCTGATGAGAAAGTTTCTTTACATCAGATTCCGTTGGGTTCTGGCCAAGGGCTCTCAACACCTCTCCAATCTGTGACACTTGGATTTTGCCATCACCTTTCTGGTCAAAGATGCAGAAAGCTTCCTGGAATTCTGGAAAGAAAAACATAAATTCTTCAGTAAAACTGTCATGCAAGTTTACGATTGGTTCAGCATGCTCTGTGTATAGACAATGTTATGGCCTGACTGTGTTGAAAGTGTGGGAGGGCAAGAGATACTTTATTACAAGATTGAAACCCCTCCCTACCAGCTAAGAAGTCCCTGATTCAGCTCACACCGACTGTCTGCCTAGCTCACTGGGAAGCGAGAGAAAGTATCGACTCCCATGTACGACAGTCTTAGGATGTACTTTTACTCACAAGATGATGCCTGTCCTTGCATGGAAATTACAGGGTACTGACATTGCTAGTTTTGATATGGCAAGGGTTTAAAATGAACCAACAGAAATGGATTTTATTTTTATGTTGCAATTTTAGATTACTGTTCATTGTTTTGTGTCCAAATAAAAATAATAAATTGAATAAAACATCCAAGTCTAAAATACCCAGCAAATATTTTTCACTCACTGTCACTAATAGGGACAATCTAGCACATATTTTGCGGTCCGTCTAATTACCCAAATGTACCCAAATATAGCCGCAATGAAGTCAAATAATGGTCCTAGATGAATAAATCGGACTGCCAATCACTTCTTGACTAGTATTTGGTGTCACAAAGTCAAAAAAAATTGGAAAACTTACTTTAATCTGAGTTAATAGATCGCGTGCATGTACCGACGGAGCGAGGAATTACCCAAACGTAGCCGCAATGAAGTCAAATGATGGTCGTACAAGCGTAATTCGGGCTGTGAATCACTTCTCGATTATTATTTGGTGTCAAAGTAAAAAAAAATTGGTAAACTTAATTTAATCTGAGTTGAGTTGTGTTGTGTTAGGTTAGGTTAGGTTAGGTTAGGTACATGCACTCGATCTATTAACTCAGATTAAATTAAGTTTGCCAATTTTTTGTGACTTTGTGACACCAAATACTAGTCGAGAAGTGATTGGCAGTCCGATTTATTTATCTAGGACCATTATTTGACTTCATTGCGACTACATTTGGCTACATTTGGCTACATTTGGGTAATTAGTTGGACCCCATATTTTGTCCTAAAACATCTGGTGCTCCCAATATGCCTGTAGCTAACACTTAATGTCGTGTAGAGAATTAAAAGAATTATACGTACTGTATATCTTGATTTTACCAAGAACAAACTACAGAGCATTGTCACCTGAACTTAAATTTAAATACGGTAATTATCAGTAAACATTATTACTACAGGATAATATTATGTAGGATAAAGCAGTACCAATCAGCTTTATAATTTTCCAATGTTCTTATCAATGGACATAAAAACAATTATTGGAGTCTTAAAGTAACAGTTTTATAAATTAATATCCAAAAAAATGTTGGTTTAGAAGCTCCCATGTCTTTAACTATGTCTTAAAACTCCTGCCCACTTGAGTCAGAGATACACCTGTCTGCCGTGATATACATAGATGGATAAACTATACATAGATTAATTTACAATAATTAGTACAGGTATAAAACAGTAAATACATAGCTTTCTCTACTAGGAGGTAAGAGGCATGCCACACCCTTGTTTTAACACAATAAACAATCCCATTACTCACCTATAATCTGGTCTTCTGAAAACGCTGCCTGTAATGAAGGTAAACAGTATATTAGCTTTCTGTATTATCTATTAAATATACAATACTTGGATAAATTAATATTAAAATTATGTTAACTAATGGAAAGATAAAAGGTTGAGATATCTTACCATGATGCCGTTGACGTCCACCTCACAGCTCTACCTCCACCAGACTGAACTCTCTCAGTGTTTCTTGTACCTTTAAAACAGATTCATTCATAACCTTTTTTTGACTTGAGTTATAATTAATTCATTTTCGTTTTGAATTATATATAAAAACATATATATAATTAAATAAATGGGAATAATAAGGTAATATATCAATGTATTCAATATTTTTATAACAGCAGGTGAACATTATTGGAACCGTTGAGCAACAGCTGATTGGCGGTGCCCTCTGTGGCCCTGTCGCTGACCTGGCAGTGGAAAGCTCAGCTGATGTAGGAATCATTTGTTCTTTGCAACAATATCGGCCAAATCACTAATCCCTCTAGGACATAGTAATTTCCTATTGCGGCAAAAAATGAATACCATATTAAAAACAACGGCAATAACACCGAAACTTTGGAGTGAGATACCACTTTCAGCTTTGATTATTCTACTCCTTATTAGGGCTTGAGTAATACTCGAGTTAGAGTGCACACGATGAACATTCTCTGACTCTTGTGTGTGGCTGTAATAAGGGTGAGTGTTCTGGGTATGGCTGTGATAGAGGCGAGTCTGCTGTGAGCTGCACAAGTGACGCATCGTACGAAGACTGCGAAGTTGAACCGGATAACTACACCTGTGTTGCAATTTACTGATAAGTGTTGTGTGAACATCTGTCAAAGAGTTACACCTATACTAAAATGGCCATATGGAATGTATTTTTATACTGTTATCCTATCTAAAAGAAAATACTTCCCCCCTGCTATTACAAATTATTTCAAATGTAATATTATCTTATCAAGTGATGTAGTATTATTGATAACAAAGACCATGTTTGAAACTTGTGCTAATATGCAAACATTTACCCAGATGCTGTTCAATAATTGCAAGTTCGAGCAAGTGACGTCATCATGTGTGAATCATCTTTGCCTTCTACTGACCCAATTCATAGCAGCACCTTGAAGTTTATACACTGTTATCAAATACTGTCCCATATATCAATGCTGGCAGTGTAGACAGATCCAACAGGAAATGGGTGTTGCTGGCGCCTGCTATCAGACTGTTCGTGTCGTCAGTTCTATAGATAAATACGTCTTATAAAAAAACTATCATCACTTTAAAAGCATAATGAAGCGGTAGATATGACCATAAAGGATATACAATTTCATATTTTCAGACATGCTGTTAATGGGGTTAATTATATGAGGGTTGAGTGACCTGGGGATGAGTGGTAACAGAAGCAGCACCTCACCTCATTATCTTACATCAAACATCGTCACATAGCAACAACCATCAATCATAATTATAATCTAGGAGGCTAATCGTCCATATAATCTACAGAATATATAATTAAGTGGGAAAAATGTATCTTGGGAAGTTACAAAGAATCAGACGGGTCGCTATATTGAGGTTGCTGGCCTACCCTCTACTACCACGGTAATATAATATGCTAGTTTGAATATTATTTTGTCCCTTAACTTAAAATCAACCAGTCCGTTACGTTCATGTATAGTTATGAGGCAGATTATATCATACGTAACAGATTCTATATTTTCCTAAAGTTAAACTCATTTTTAAAAGTATATTAAATATCATGTAAATTAGTTGTCATGGTCACTGTGTGTTTAGATCAATAGTGGATATCTGTGGGTACGGGTTCGACTCCTTTATGGTACAGGCAAATATCCTCTTTGTACCCTAAAACTGTATATCGTATCCCGTGTCACCGGTACTATAAGAGTTACCATGTACCGCTATAATAATTATTCGTACCATTAGTCATCATCAATAGTATCACCAGTCAACACCATCAATCACCATCAGTCATCACTAGTATCACGTCACCATCAGTCATCACCAATACCACGTCGATGACTCCACCATTGGGATCAGCGTCAACAATTCTGCTCCCGACTATACCGTCCTTCAGGATTTATTGAACAGTCTTCAAAACTGGGCCACTAACAACCACGTCACCATCAACCATACCAAGACCATGGTTATGCACATCAACCTCTCCTCCGACGTTGTCCCACCTCCTTCCATTACTTTAGGTCCCAACACACTCCAGGTTGTAGATTCCACTAAGCTCCTCGGCGTCACCATAGACAACAAACTAAACTGGAAACCACACGTCAGTGAAGTTGTCAAATCCTCCAGTTTCCGTCTCCACCTCCTCCGCCGACTCAAGTCCCTCGGAGTTCCTGCCCCCGAGCTCCTCAGTGTTTACTCAACATTCATACTTCCCAAGCTCACCTATGCCTCCCCCACCTGGTCTTCCTCCTTAAATGCCACACAACGTAAACACCTAGAAAAAGTGCAAAAGAGGGCATGCAAGATTATTCTCTCCCCTTCCTACTCCACATATCAAGAAGCGCTCAACACACTGACCCTTTCGACTCTCACTGACCATCACCACGACCTCATCTGCAAATTTGGTAAGAAGCTTCTGCACCATCCTCGACACCGGCTCCTACTACCACCTGAGATCCCTAGCCCCAGAATTGCTGTTCGACACCACAACCGCATCCAGCCCATACGTGCACGAACTGATCGCTATAAGAACAGCCCAGTCCCAAACTTTATTGGTAAAAATTATCAATAACTTGTAATAAACCAGTGTATTCACTCCCAGTAAATACTACTTCTTGCACTGTCACTATGTTGAAATGCCCTGTAGTTTGAGCTTTTCCCCAGCTAGTTATTATATATCTTATTTGTATCACTTATGTTATTTGTATATTATTTGTAAATCGAAACCCATTTCCCAATTATGTAACTGTATATTTTGAGACTTCTGGCTGCCATGCTCTTTCAATAAACAGTTAATTATTATTATTATTACTATTATTACTATTATTATTATTATTATTATTATTATTATTATTATTATTATTACCATCAGTCATCGCTAGTCATTCACCAGTCATCACTTCGACCTCACCCAAACTGATCTAATATTCCTTATCGTCAATTTCCTCAAAACAACAGTGGGAGTGTTGACCCGGAATGAGAACACGACATATCCATTAGGGAATTAAACGGATTGTGGCACTGTCAGAATGGCTCAGACGGCAGTGCCACAAGAGACAGTAAGACAGTCACATGCGTAGATACTTTACTGATAAAAGATATATAGAATTTAATGGTTAAAGACACCGCTGGCCATTGACTGTCTCCGTGAACGTGTTTATGAATCGCAATAATACGAGTCTTCCAAGTATAATAAACTATTTTAATACTGTCGTCACAAGGTAAATATCATTAATTTCCACATGATGCCATATTAAGATTGAAATAGTAGAAAAGACTTAACTTGAACTATTTTATTTAAATGGGATGATATTAAGATTTTGTTGAGCCACCGCCCAATGATGGCAGGCGTCAGACGTGGGAGAGGGGGTCTGAAGTCAGGGTGGTGGTTGGGGAGCCCTTACCTTCCCCCGGGGTCCTAGAGCTGTGAGCATACTACAGGACACTGGCGCCTCTATCTAAATACTCACCTTTACTCGCACCAGGTATCAGATTTAATGCTTGTTAGATGGCGCGCGTGTGTGTGTGTGTGTGTGTGTGTGTGTGTGTGTGGGAGAGAGAGAGAGAGAGAGAGAGAGAGAGAGAGAGAGAGAGAGAGCAAACGATTCATAAACAACCTGCTTTGTTATTATACCACAAATAGTATTATATATCTATTTTCTGTTGTCAAACCTCAATGTATTTTCTCTCTCAGTCACAAACCACACACTGACATCACTGACATCACTCTCACCTGTTATCTGATCCATTACACCAAAAAACATAAAACACCTGTGACCTCAAACTTTCTCTCTGAGCAGCTCACCTAGTCGAGGCCTGGTGTAGGTACTGAGAGCCAAGGTTCATATCAGCCAACCTAACGCAGATCTGAAGACAGTGTTTGATGTTGAAGGTCTGTTAGAATAGCACATCATATCATTAAGTATTGGAATAATGCAATGAGCTATGGATTCCTTAGTTAACCTAAACACAGGGAAATAAATATACTGATCTCATAATTCAGAAACCATTTAAAACATAAAGACTTATTATTAAAGTGTAAGGATTTGTATACAGTTTCCAGGAAGATATTATTTCCCGCCTACTTTTTTATATGATGGTTATATTGTATAGGTAATACGTGGTTAATTATTTTTACCTTGAAAATACGGATTAAGTTACATGTAGATGGTCTGAGTATGAATCACTCAGTCAGCACAGATGGTCTAACATTCCCGAGGCTTTCAACGTCTCTCTCATTTGCTTTCACTCTTTTCATTCTGTAATGGTTCAGTGACTTGGGTCAATTTTAGGAAATTCAGCCAATGATTTATGTGAAGGGATATTTGATTTGATTAACTTTGTGACGCATAAATTTGTGTATAGATATTTGGTTGACTAGGTATCCACTCACAGCTGGATGGACTGTGGGTGACTCGGGTACAAACCAGTGATCCGTATGACAGGAGGTGAGTTCTGGATCCATTCAGCCGCCACAGTCTGATTTATATTTACATGCTGATTTTAAAGTGAGACCTTCTTATAAATATTGAGACAGAATGTGTTGGATTCTGAATTGGTTAGAACGTTTATATTGTATGAAATTGTTGATATTTGTTTGGGCATTGTCAGTGTCTAAAAATACTGAACGTTTATGAATATATATCCTCGTATTTGTGGTCCGTTGTAGCAGCAAAAACACCAGCTCGTCTCTCCCTCTATAGTTATTATTTTACAGTAATTGCAAATATATTGAAATGTACAGGTTATGGAATAAACCTATTAAAGGATGAGTGAGTCAGAATATATTTGTAGGTTCGATCGTGTGTGAATAACTACGGACTAAACGAGACATTTTATATTGCTACAATATTATTTTCACCATAATTACGTTTTATGTTTCACATCGACAAATTTACCGTAATACCAGTTTACCCAGGACTTACCGCGGGCTTTGATCCCATGTGGGGAATTTGAATATAGGATCAGCGTTCTATATTGAGTAACGAGTAACAGCACAGCCTTTATATATATATATAT